GGAGGGAAAGGAATTAAAATTTCTCCAAAAACAACAGAGATCAGAGCAAGCAGGTGATAGAACACACACACACACACACAGGGCAAATGAGCGGGGGAAATGAGAGAAAGCCTTTGGGGAGACGGCAGCAGAGTCAAGCTATTGGATTACTGTCCCCAGTGAGTCACTCCTCAACAATCTCTGTCTCTCTCTCTCTCTCTCTCTGGTTAATTACTGGGATTTTGGGTTGTTCCTCCACGGGGCTTGTGGCTGTGTTTGTCTGCAGGGCGGGTTTAGGGAGGTCTCGACACCATCCTCTCACTCCTATATGATCTCTGTCTCTGTTATATTCCTTCTAAGACTGTTCGGGGTCACAGGGACAATCTCAGATTGAATTATCCTTACCTTACACTCAATCAGACACACAGTAGTTCTGTTCACAGACTGTTTGGTGAGTAGTCAGTGTGCACAGATTTAGATCGGTCCGCCAAAAAGCAAATTCATGTTTACAGGTTTCTGCTACAGTCATTGGTTCAGACCAAGTTTGCAAGGTGAATTCAGAAACACTCAAGTCACTCCCACTTAAATCATACATACTCTAACACACCTCAAACCACCCACACAAAAACACATGATGCCAGACCCACTCAAGACACACCCACATAAACTCTCCTCAATCCACACCCACTCCAATAACACATATAAAGACATGCACAAAACCATACTTGCACAAAAACCTAAACCACACCCATTCAATACACTACCCAGATCACACCCACAAAAACACACCTCAAGCTCCACCTACCTAAACCACACCCACCCACTCCTATAACCGCAACCACACAGAAACTCCTGAAGGCACACCCACACAAAAAGTCACCATGCCACACCCAATCAAAACACTATACAGATCAAACCCTCTCAAGCCACAACTGCATAAACACTTATCAAACCACACCCACTTATATTATTCATACCCAGACACTCCTCAAACCACACACACTAAAGTGCCACCCACATGAACACTCCTAAAACAACACCCACATATAAACTCCTTAAGCCACACCCAATCAAAACTCTTATCTAGATCACACCCACTTAAGTCACATCCACATAAGCACTCTTCAAACCACACCCAATCAAGCCACACAAAAAATAAATAAATAAATACCAAGCCCACTGAAATCATACATACTCAGACACACCTCAAACCACATACATACAAAAAAAACTCATCAAGGCACACCCAATCAATACACTACCCAGGTCACACCCACTCGAGTCACGCCCATATAAGCACTCATCAAACCCCACCCACTCAAACACTGGTCATTTATATACAACTCAGACCACACCCACCCAAAACTCTGAATACAAAGTATCGGGCACAATAGCAGTTTCTCCAGCAGCGCTGCTTCTGTTTACAGGCCCATGATGAGGATGAATGGTACGGTAAGATCTCAGGAAGAGGAAACAATGACATATTTAACTGCCACACAGTTGGATTTAATTTCATTAATTTCAAGGTGCTTCACACAAACGCTCAGTCACCGTGACACACGTCACATCTGAAGTAATGTGAGATGCCACTAATGTAACGTCATTATGTGTTACAGCCCAGCTTGTAAATTATGACGAAATTTCACATCTTCTCCCATTAATGCAGATGTATATTGAGCTAATTCAAGACAGAATAAAAATGACTGTTATTATCTTCGAATAAAAGTTGGGCTGACACTATGTGAGACATCTCATAATTATCAGGACCCTCATATCCATTTAACCGGCGCTGATATGAAGGAAAGCAGCCGCTGAATGACAGTGAGTTCATTTAGAAAGCCCATCAGCTAAATGACACTCATGCGGCGATCAGTAACCTGCCAGCGTGTCCCCGCGGAGGGATGACAGGTGCTCGTCTGGAACATTAAAGCACACGCTAACGTCACACACAGGGCACACGTGTGCTTAACAGGAGCGATATGATTGCACACTCTCCTGTGTAATGGCTTCTCGCTCTGAATGCATAATATCACTTAGTGCAATATCGATAATAATAGTGAGATTTCAGAGCTGGTTTGGGGAGGCTTTCGCCTTTATGAATTCTGAATGTATTCTCAAATTCCAAAATAATGGTGGATTTTCAGAGTCCATTTACAAGTTATTTTACCGCAGAGGACTGAGTGTTATGTTATTAGATATGATTTTTTTTATGATTAGCGTTTGAATTATGACTGAAAAGAGAAAATGGAGTGTGAATATTGCGATCAGATCAATCAAAATATAATTAAAAACATCAGTTTCAGTGTTGATATAGTTACTGTTGTGCCTTTGTAGGATAAAAGCTTTACATTTAATTATATTACACATAAACATACACTTTTACACACATATATAGGCAAAAGCAAAGTAGCCTAATGCATGTAAAAGCTGTTGCAAGCAGCGGCAAGGTCATGGGTTCGATTCCCAACGATCACATATAGGCCTACTGATGAAATGTGCACCTTTAGCACGCTTAGAGTGCTTTGTATAAAAGCATCCGCCAAATGCGTAAATGCAAGCGTATGTTTCTCTGGCTGATCCTAATTGAGAAAAGTGAGAGTGAGATGTTAAAAAAGAGAACGATGCATCGTTCAGATGGCGTCTGACAGTACAGTATGACGCCGTGTAAACCCCAAACATGTTTTAATAATACAATAACGTGTGCATTACAATAAGCAATTGTAATTCCATCTGCTAAGTATGACAACATTAGCATATCCATTTAATTAGCGGCACGCGTTAATCACCTTCCTGAATGTGCATCTATCTCTCTCTCACGGCAACTTTCTCTTTTATTTGTATCTAACGAGATGTTTTTCTCTCTTCTGATGCAGAATAAAGGTGTTTGTTATGATGGTTATATTTCTGTTCTCAGTTCAGTAATCAGCCGCGCTGTCTCTGCATGAACAGTGATTTCACTAAACAAAATCATCGGCTAAATCTATTCAAACACTCACATTAATGGGGTGGATTTGAATGGATTTTCAAATTAAGGGTCATAGATTCTGTCAGCAATGTATTAATTGCAACAGAGGCATCATTGTTTGCCATTTTGACACCGGCTCAATTAGAGCACTATTTAGAGTTAATTAGATTATTCTGAAAGCATTTCAGAAATGAGATTTATTGTCCGAAAAAAGAAACAACATGAAAGTTCATCTTACAAAGGAACGGCAGTGATACCCGCAATAAAATCCCATCGCGCGCTCTTCATCTTTCTTTCTGTCTGTTTCTCTCTCGCACACACACACACACACACACACACACACACACACACACACACAGAGAGAGAGAGAGAGTGTGTCTGTTTTATTTTTTATACAAGTGCATTAAATGTGACACACACACACACACACACACACACACACACACACACACACACAGAGAGAGAGAGAGAGTGTGTCTCTTATCTTTAATATGAATGCATGTGAAATGAATACGGCTCTTGAAAATGGAAGCTGCTTCACTTCAGTAAATGTGTCTTTAGAGATGAATGGCACTCTTATTTGATGCCTCTTTGTAGGAGTAAAAACTTCTCATTTACAGTAAGTCTTTAATGTAGAAAAAACTTTATTTTTCTACAAATTGTTTCCTGTGCAGTTCATGCTAAATAATATAAGAAGTTTGTTATTCATATTTGCAGGTATTTGTAGACATATATTTTAGCTCACACTGTAACACTTTAGTTTAGGGACCAATTCTCACTTGCTTATACGCATGCTAATTATTAACATATTGGCTGTTTATTAGTACTTAATAAGAAGTTTGTTATTCATATTTGCAGGTATTTGTAGACATATATTTTAGCTCACACTGTAACACTTTAGTTTAGGGACCAATTCTCACTTGCTTATCCGCATGCTAATTATTAACATATTGGCTGTTTATTAGTACTTACAAAGCATATATTATGCATGACATTTTTCTACATCGCTAATCCTACCCCATACCTAAACTTAACAACTACTAACTATTCATAAGCAGCAAATTAGGAGTTTGAGGCAAAAGTTGTAGTTAATAGTGAGAATTTGACCTTAAAATTAAGTGTGACCGTACGTTTGAATAGACAGTGAAATAACATCAACTTACTGACGGCATCTATAACACATATCTGTGACGGAATGAAACGTTTTATTTTAATGTTGAAGAAAATAAATCTGTAAATGTAATGCCAATTGCTTATTGTATTTATCGTGTTTGTTATGCATACAATAAAACCAACCTATGAAATAAATACTCAATGAACTTCAGAAGATTTACATATGTGACTTAAGTCTTGTCTTAAGTCGCTGGGGGATATTTGTAGTAATAGCCAAAAATACATTGTAAATGTTATGTAATTAACTGTGTGCTGATATGGCGTTAAAACATAAATAAATGTAATTATTAAATGTCACTTGTAAAATATTAAATATTATTTAATTAAATTTGTATTATTTTATTATATAAAATTATTAAATGCCACTAGTAAAATATAAAATAGTATTATAATATTATTTGATTATGATTTTTATCATGTTAAATTATTAAATGTCACTAGTGAAATATTAAATATTATATTGTTGAATTAAATACATTTTTTAATATTAAATTATTAAATCTTACTAGTAAAATATTAAATGTTGCAATTATTTTGTTGAATTATTACATTGTATTATTAAATGTTACTAGTAAACTATTAAATATTACTATATTGTTGAATTTTTAAATTGCTTTTATTATGCAAGTGATATTTATTACTAAATATCACTGATAAAATATTTTATATTATATTGTTGAATTATCACATTATTTTTATATTATTAAATGTTATTAGTAAAATATTATAAAAGGGAAAAATTCTAAAATATTAAGTTAAAATAATTGTGTTAAATAATTTAACACATTTACAATAAAAGTCTGTGCAGCCAGTGATCACAAGGGTTAAAAACAAAGAAATGTGAGCATTTTCATGAATTATTGACTAAAAGCTGTTTGTTCCTGCTGTGACGTGTGTGTGAACTGATCCAGCTCTCAGGCTCTCAGTGATTTTAAGTGTTTCTGCAGCATTTCCGTCCTGAAGCGCCTCCGTCTGAAGGACCGCAGTACATGAACAAAGCCTTCAGCGCGTACCGCGGCATCTACATCGAGAAGGAGGACTTACAGATGGAGCTCAATAAAGTGGTGCTTAGACGGCTCATCCTCCTCGTGTGTGATAGTCAAACCCTCATGAGTGCAGACGAGTAACATATTTCTGCCTTCTCTTCCAGAAAAAGGAGAAGCTGGATTTAGAGAGGCTTCTGAAGGAGCAGCTGCAGGCCAAAGAACTGGAGCTGCTGCAGCTCAGATCGGAGATGGACACGAGCCAAGGTGACGTTCAGTGTTTCATCACGCTTTCAGGAGTCACTACCACACACTCACTAGTGCTTCTGAAGAACTGGGACAGAGCTGTGCTCATGCTGGGCAAACAGGAATGATGTAGCTACAAATGCTTTCAGTATTATTCATTTATTATATGTGTCCCTGCAGCACAAAAGCAGTGTTAAGTCGCTGGGGGATATTTGTAGCAATAGCCAACAATACATTGTATGGGTCACAATTATACATTTCTCTTTTATGCCAAAAATCATTAGGATATTAAGATCATGTTCCATGAAGATATTTTGTAAATGTCCTACCGTAAATATATCAAAACTTAATGTTTGATTAGTAATATGCATTGCTAAGAACTTAATTTGAACAACTTTAAATATGATTTTCTCAATATTTAGATTTTTTTGCACCCTCAGATTCCAGATTTTCTAATTATTGTATCTCAGCCAAATATCGTCCGAGCCTAACAAACCATACATCAATGGAGAGCTTATTTATTGTCAAAAACTTGAGTACAGAAAAAACAGAAAAACTATTCTCTTTAGATGCATATCAGTTCCTCATCACATCTGTGTCCACCCACTGAAGAACTTCATTCGAACACATGGAAGCATCTGAAACCAGACTGCAATGTTATCAGATCAATGTCTGTATGATGTAAAGTTGAGCACTGCTACAATAGTTCTCGTTTGTGGCTGGAGCAGCTCTTGATCTGTTTGACGAACACCGATGTGACATTCGACTCTAAACTTTGATGATTGAAATATCAACAGATTTCCTGGAGCTGGTTATGTTTCAAGATTTTACATTAAGTGTTGGCCCAAAACAGAATCAGATTTAATGGGTTGAGAATCAGAGTTTAGTGACGTACAGTACAGAAAAAACAGAAAAACTATTCTCTTTAGATGCATATCAGTTCCTCATCACATCTGTGTCCACCCACTGAAGAACTTCATCTTCATCTCGCTCGGCGCTGGTGTCGCTGGTGTGTGACGGGTGGGTGTTTTTACTGTCTGTTAGTTACTCATTAGATCTCTCTCTCTCTCTCCATCAAATAAGTGACACACTTTTTCCACAGGCCCCATTCGTCTCATCCAGAGCCACTTCTCATTTCTATACTTTTGTGTTTTTCATTTGGATTCTCACCGGCCACAAACCCAGAGGAGTCAGGAGAAGTGCTCGCCGCCTCCAAGAGAGGCTGTTTTACATTAAAAATGCTTTTGAGTTGAGGTAACATCATGCTTTAATAATGTACAACACCAGGCAGCACGAAGCAAAATGCATTTTTAATTACTAAAGTGACTAATATCTAAGGTTCTGCTTTGAGGTTTTTGTTTCATTAAATATTCATGTGTTTTTTTCTTCTTCGCATCCGTGCATCTGAGCCCCACACCTGCACTTTCTGCCAGAGACGGCACATTTACACACTTACTAAACACGCAACACACCTCTCAACACAACCGGATGAACGTTGTTCGCTCCCAAATCCACCTACAATCCCCTGAAACAGGAATCCAGCGAAACACACGACCGTGACACAATAGCGTGTTCTACCTCCCGATACGATGTTGACGCTCATCAAGGTGACATTTCAGCTTAAAATATGAATGCGTCTCGCGCGAACGTCTGAAAGCGTTTTGTGTTCTGATGATTTTATTACCTTCAAAGAAAACAAAGACTCGTCTGTGAACCTGGAGCAGGTGAGGAAGATTAAAAGCGCTTAATCTCTAATTTTGGGGCGATTAGCGTAAAGTGAATTTGTGGTTTTGAAGAGGACGGGATTAGACATGGAGACTCCTGCTGAAGGAGAGATTAGAGCTGCTCTCATTTCAGACGACATATGAATGACAGACCTGGACGACTCAGGCCTGATCTGACTCACGGATTTCACAGAAAAACTGCAGCCATTCATTTTGCCTTTTCATTTTATATAGACCCTAAATGTCGCCATGTAACTCATGTATTCCTTTACAAGTGCATTACATTCCGAGCAAAACTTAAGCACAGCTTATGCAATGCATTGGTCGCCATGCTTCATTTTGTTAATCTTGATCGAATAATTTCAGCTCTACAAACTAGATCAAATTTTCATTCGGATCAGCTCAATCGAAGGTTTCTGGAGGATTTTCAGTCTGATTGTGGCATCAATTATGAACGTATGAGACACAGTTTTTTATTCACTGAAATATTTTCTCTGCTGCAGCCTTTCAACACGTTCAAACTGGCTCGTTATGTTCGGTTGCGAAATCCTTGAACTCCAGTCAGTGTCGTGTGATTTTCACTAAAGGTGACAAGAACATAAACGAGTCAAGTTGAGTTTGAGGCTTGTTTGGAGACCACCAACTTAGTTAATAAAGAGGCAGACGTGCCCGCGAATGTGGAGAGCATCTTTGAGGAGAACAGCGACGACGGCTCAATGTGCTTTACTGTGTGTTTCACTCGTAGATCTCTGTTTGAATAGCAGTGGTCAAAAAAATTAAAAAAAAAAAAAATTAAATTATGTAAAAAAAATTTTTTTTATTTAATTATACTGCAAAAATTGTTTTAATATGTAGAATTTTTGTCTGGTTTTCCAGTACAAATATCAAAACAATCTAAAATCAAGAAACATTTTCCCGAGAAGAAATATTCCCAGAAAAAAAGAAAGTGAGATTATACTTAAAACAAGAAAAAAAAGCTGTTATTATAAACAATAATCGTGTTTCCCTTTAAAGTAAGTTTAAGTTTATTTTTCTGATCCCATTGCCAGATTTTTTTCTCTTGTTTTAAGCATAAACTCACTTAATTTTGGTAGATTTTTTTTAAGAAACAAGACTTAATATCTAATAGAGCAAATAGTAATTTGTCATGTATCTTGATTTAAGTATATTTAGATACATTTAATGGGAGAAGAAGAAACAAAAATGATGAATAAAGTCATGTTTTTGCAGTGTGTATATATGCAAAAAAAGAGTATTATTTATTTATATTTATTTATTTTTAAAAATGTATACGTTTATTCATTAAAAGGCAATAAATTGATCAAAAGTGACAGTAAAGACGTTACAAAAGATTGCTTTTAGATGCATTTTTGGCAGTTATCATGTTGCATTTAACTGTTTTAATATTTCTAGTCAGTAAATCATGCTAGTGTTGGTTTTCCCAGCATGCATAATTTTGCATTCGCATTGTTTGACTGTTTGTGACGTTAGGTTTACATTAATTGCATGTATTCTGTGGTCACATGAAAACAAAAACCGTTGTATTTGTTACATTTGAACCTTTTATTATGCATTTGCTTCAGTGTGTGTAAGCTTCTCTTCAGTCTCTGGAGGCAAAAGAGAAAGCCCTTCAAAGGGAATAAAAAGCGGTCAAATGAAAACCAGATCTGTCCACAGGTATGTCTTTGTTTAGCTGCAGATGTTCAGAATCATCTGTGGTTTGAGAGTCAATCATAAAGAATAGCTTCCTCGAATTCATGATTAGTGTGTGAGTGAGTGAGTGAGTGAGTGAGTGCGTGAGTGAGTGTGAAAGACAGTGAATAAAGCAAGAGAAATGTTAAGTGAAATACCTCCAAAAATAATTCAGTCTTGCCAAATATTGACTATTTTACCCAAAATATTTGTGCATGCTGTGTATGTTCATGCTTGAGTGTCAAAATGTACAATCAAGTCACATTTATTTGTATAGCGCTTTATAAAATACAGTGTGTTTCAAAGCATCATAAAGATAATAAACAAGAAAATAACAGTTAATATTATAAAATTAATCAATTATGAAACAAATTCACTTCCAGCTATAAAGCAGCTCTACATTTGGTTCTATTTTTAAAGAATATATGTACATAATGCATGATGATAATACGTAATACACATAATATGTGATTCCTCTTCTGTTTTCCAACGCTTGACATATGTAAGTGAAAGCCGTGGGTCTGGATGTACCTGAGCTGTTTCAGAGTGTTCTCTGAGCTCACGGAGGGGGAGACGCTGACATATGGCATCTCTCTCTCTCTCTCTCTCTCTCTTTCTCTCTCTCTCTCTCTCTCTCTCTCTCTCTCTCTGTGCGGCTTTTTTCTCCATGTCCAATCACATTTCCAATTGCCTCAACAACTTGAAGCACACACGAGTGAAAAACTGATTTCTCAAGCTCTCAACATCTCGGCTCAAGATGAGTGTCCCTCTCTCTCTGCTGGAGCTCCTCCACTCGAGAGCCAGTGATTAAAATGTGACCCTTGACTGGGGGAGGTTTGGGGGGTGGATGCCACGTCGAGGATCTCATTAGCATCGCCCCGCTATTGACACTCGGAGCAGGGCCGGAAAAGTTGGTGTAAGACGTAAATATGTGGTTTGTTTTTTGCCGGCTGTCTTTGTAGAGGAGCTCTTGTGGACTGAGAGGCTCTTCTTTACCGGCGGAGCGACGAGACGGGCATAAAACACCTTCTTTCTTCATGCTAATTTATTCAAGTGCCAGAGGTTACGAATGTCTATTCAGATGTGATCACCTACAGTCATAATTGAGAGATTAAAATGCAAAAAGAGCGAAAACCCTCGACGTTTTGGATAAACGGAAGCGTGTGTATCTGGCAGGTGTGAGGCACTTCACCTCAAACACGCAGACACACGCACACGCACGCACGGAGGCACACACACACACACTTACACTCTCTCACTCACACACTCACACACACACTTACACTCTCTCACTCTCTCACTCACACACACACACACACACACACTCTCTCTCTCACACACACACACACACACACACACACACACAGAGACACGCAGATGCTTCTTTCTCCTCCAGTAACCCAGAGCACTCAGATGGCACTTCCACCAGAGCAGCCCAAAGACATTTGGAGAGTTCTCTTCAAAGCGTCTCGGATTATATCCACACACACACTGTCCTGAGGGAAACCTTTGAAGGAAACGTCGAGCCGTGACGCTGCCGGCCACCGCAGGATGTTTTGTTTGTTTGTCTAAACCTATTTCACACAGACGGTTTGTCATCGAGCTGGTGGGTCTCGCACAAACGGCGCAGATGGGAGAACCGACAAATTAAACCAGCATCATCTAATCATAATCTATGATGTAATCATAGCCTGATGCTTTAGACTGTGTTTTGTTCAGTAGTGCAAGTGTAATAATGTCTATGAGGGGAAAAGG